TGTAACGTTCCCATTCGTCCCGGTCACCTTTCAGCGTGCTTCTATGAATTCCTCTCGCTCGGAGAACACGCGGCTCATCATTCCTTTCGTTCTGACTTTTCGTCAAGAATCGAGTGTCGGGTTGGCGGTTATCGTTATGATTGTTCGACGTCTGTAGGGGTCCATTCGGTAGCTGTTCCGCCCCAACGCTCGTCACAAAGTCGCAGGGTTTCCGACAGACCTTATGTTTGATAGCTTGGAAGTCCGATCTTTCATTACTCTTGTATGGGGAACGCCAAGGGTCGTTCTCCCTACAGCTCGTTGATACGCTGACCGCTTATCATGACCATCCTGCCCGTTCATATTCCAAAGCTCTGAGGCCTGAAGAACTGCAGAATCGAGGAGCTGGGCATGGAGTCGGACATTTCACGTTCGCACTTCTTCCTTGGTGTTCATAGATGCACTATCGTTCGTTGCCTCTTACTCAGCTTTAGAGCTGTCTCGTTCATCATGTCGTTTTTGAACATTTGGGCGCAATTCTATCCATTCACGCAAATAGGATACGTGGCTTTTGTGCTATGTCCAGTTTTTATACAAGGACTTATGTTATTGCTGCCGCATCGAGGGTATAAAGGTGATTTAGGTGGTTCTCAGGAATGAGATGACCGGACGAATGGGAGGGATAAGGGTGCGTTCATAGTCGGTCGTTCGATCGTAACGATCGCACAGCGTTGGATGCTTATCGATCACCAGACGTGTCCCAGGATGGCAAGATCGACACGCATCCGTTGCTATGCCATCGTTACGATAGGACGACCGCCTATGAATGCTCCCTAAGAGGTCGAGGAAAATTAGGTACTGCCATACTAGTATAATTTGGGGAACGAACTGATTCCCCTTGTCGTGCTTTGGTAGACTGCCTTTGTGCATGCTGAAAACTGCTTTGTTCGAGGTTTCATTCGTTTAATCTTTTTAAGGCATTATGGCGATCCTTTCAACGCTTCAGTCGAGGAAGTCATTGCCGCTTGATGAAAAATGGCTTCTTGTGCCGGCGTTCTTGAAGGTACTGGTTTTTACCTTGTTGGATTGTTAGAGTGTCATCATTAAGTTTTTTGTTTAGGTACGTGGCCTTGTGAAGCAGCACATTGTAAGCTTCGATTACTTTGTCAACGAAGAAATCAAGACGATAATGCTTGCTAATCAAAAGATCACCAGTGATGCTAATCCAAATTTTTATTTAAAGTGGGTAACTTTCCTATATTTCACCTTCTCCTTACTTTCCTTTTCCTTTTCATTCGTTAGAAGGTTTCTTAATTGCAGATATCTTGATATACGAGTGGGGAAGCCTTCAAGTGAGGAAGGATTGAATCAGGTGATTCTTCTATTCTGCAGGACTTCAGATGATCAAGTTCATTTGATTTTTTTTCAGATTCACGACAAGATCACACCGCAAGAATGTAGACTCAGAGACATGACATATGCTGCTCCCATTAATGTCGATGTAGAGTACACTCGTGGTAATCAGCGAGTTATCAAGCGCGATCTGACAATTGGACGGATGCCTATAATGCTGAGATCGAGCAAATGCATATTAAAAGACCTGGTGAGCATCATTATCAAAATCTGTATACGTCTTCAAAGGGTCTGTATTGAAAATCCTACATTTTCTCTACCTTTATGCATGTGGATCACCTGTTTCTCCTTGTAAACATTTCGTGTTTATCGAAGCTTTCATTTGAATCTGACGATGATCTAGTTGATTAGTTTTTGATTCTTTGATGTCGTTTAGGCTGAGGAAGAGCTTGCGCGTGTACAGGAGTGCCCGTACGATCCCGGAGGTTATTTTATTGTGAAGGGATCGGAGAAGGTTATCCTCATTCAAGAGCAGCTCTCGAAGAACAGGATAATGATAGGCAGGAACTCTAATAAAGATCTCCAGTGTGAGGTGAGTCAATGAGGATTTCATTCATTCGCAGTCGGTTTTCGTTCAGTTTCCCCTCAGTTTGGTCAAAGAAATTTGGTTGTAGATCTTGTATCGATTCGTATCTTTTTAGGTTCTCTCGTCCACTGCTGAGAAAAAGAGTAAAACGTATGTGATTGCTCGCAGAAATAGATATTGGTTACGTCATAATCAGCTAAATGATGACATCCCTGTTGCAATTGTGTTCAAGGTACACCTTTGGATTTTGATAGTCACTTTTTGTGCCAGTTGCTTGATTTTAAGCATTTCAGGCCATGGGTGTAGAATCCGACTACAATATCATCAGTGCTATTGGTTTGGAAGAGAAGTGAGTCAAAATTAACTGGTGTAGCTTACATCATGATTATAACGTCAGCTTCTGGCAGGTATGTTACCGCTTTTTCGGCTTCTTTGGACGAATGTGCAGCTAATCATATTTCAACCCAACAGCAGGCAATCAATTCGTAATAACTTCAAAGGCTAGGCGACTTTCAAGTTATTCCATAGTCACCGGCATCCATAATACCCCACTTTATTTTTCAGATCAAAGTGCGTAAATTTGGATCTCCTTATGGCGGAACTGCAACATCTACAGGGGTCCACTCCCTAAAGAGCATGAGGCAGTCGATTTCCTGTCAAGGTAATGAATATCTTCATCTTTCTGTTGAAGCTGAAGCTGCTTATGTCTTTTTCAGCTCCATGATCTGCCATATTCCTTGCCATGACGGCAATTTCAAAATGAAAGCAATATTTCTGGGTCTAATGACGAGAAGGTATATCATTACCTCAGCATACTGATGTAGATTTTCTACCATCAGGGTTTTGTAGGTTAATTCAAGCCGAGCTTGGTGAGTGTGATTTGGATGATCGCGATTTTTACGGGAACAAGCGACTCGAATTGGCCGGGTCCTTATTATCGCTGCTGTTCGAGGACGTGTTGAAACGTTTCAACGCCGAATTAAAGAGAGTTGCTGACAACTCGCTAGGGAAAACCTTGGCTGCACCACTCGACATAGTGAAACACATGCGTCAGGTATATCTCTTTATTCCATCACATTTTCTATTGTAACTTTGATAGATGAATTGAATTTCAAGGATCTTATAACGCATGCTATTTCGAATGCCCTTTCCACAGGAAACTGGATAATTAAGCGGTTCCGAATGGAACGGCATGGAGTTACCCAGGTAAGTGGGTAATGAATGCCTCCGGTTATTGAATGGGATTCTTGATAAGTCGAAATAGAACACATTATATGAGAGTTCAAAATTTGCAGGTGCTGAGTCGGTTGTCGTACATCTCAGCTCTAGGAATGATGACAAGAATTAACTCAACTTTCGAGAAGACTCGTAAGGTGAGTTATTATCCAGCGGTATTTATTGATGTTATACTGTTTGTCTAAGGCTTTTGGTAGCGAAAATGCCTGATCTTCCAGTGGTGTTGGGATATGTTCTTGTTTGTGAAGTAAGGGAGTCAAGGTATGGGTATGGGTACAGCACCATGTCGCAATTTTGGGTAAAGTGCGATTTGCAGTGGGTTGTGGCGAGGAAACAATCATAGGAGATGCTATTAGATTTCTTAAATTGTGCAGAATTCTTATTTGTGACGAGTGCACGTCTCACTCTCATAGTACAGCGTTCTATGACGCATAACCAAAACAAAGCTGATAA